TTGTTGTCCGATTTCTTGCCAAGAAGGCCACTGGCTAATGCCGTACTTGTGTCTGATTATTACGCTGTTGTTGTTGTTGTTGTTGTTGTGTTTTCTTGGTATTCAAATCCCCCACAGCTCTTCTTCATGCTTTCGTCTGGGCTTATGCCCGCCAGACATTGGTATGCACGCCAGACATCGTTTTTTTTTTTTTTTTTTTTTTTTTTTTTTTTTTTTTTTTTTTTTTTTTTTTTTTTTTTTTTTTTTTTTTTTTTTTTCTCCCCCTCTGGGAGGCCACCAGCCGCCAAGCCTTGCTGTGCACATTTTGATACTGCTTGGGCTTCCACTTGGTGCGCGACTCGCCCCCTCGTCCCGCTCGCCTCTTTCCCCCCTATTTTCGAACGCAGCGAACACAAGACATTATGTGGTACAGGATTGCGTGGCATCGCATCCCCGCGCTTAAGAGCAATGGCGTGCGCAGCAGTGCCATGGGTCCTCAGCCGTCGCATGAGGAAGAGCGACGGCGCCCGGTGGGCGGCAGTGGCGGGGGCAGAACTCTCTTGGCGCCAAGGGAAGGCACGGGCTGCGCTCGAAGCCGAGTCCTGCGATGCTGGGTCAGCAGCTGCAGCGCTTCTATCTTGTCGCAGATGTGAAAAAACTGGGGCGACACGCATCGCGGTGCTCGGAGATGAAGAGCCTCTGGCAGGATCCGGCGGGTGCGCAGCTGATGGGCCAGGCGCCCGGCGCGCCCGCTCTGGGAGACTCGACCGCGCGCAGGTTGGCCTCGAGCACCTCGGCCTCGTCATGAAGCAGCGCGGCCGCCCGGACGTCTGGTTCGAGCCTCCCGTGCAGCTCTGGCCGCGCCGCCGAGATCGGCGACCTGCTCAGCGACGTCGCGGGCCTGGCTGGCCGACGCGCATGCGGCGAGCCCCGTGCCGAGGGGGGGGGGGGGCTCGCCATCGGGCGGCAGCGGCAGGGCTCGGACCTGCAGCGTGGGCTTCTCCGGAGTCTGGCTCCTCGACCGCGGCCGGCGGAAGTCCTCCGTCGCCGGGGGGGCGGTCGGAAGAGCCGTCGGCGCGCGGCAGGGCGCTGCCCAGCAGTGGGCACTTGCATGACTGTGGTGACTCGTTCCCACGACAACTACTGCACTTCGTCCACCACGGCGATGTGGGAATCTGGCAGGTTGGTGGACATTTGCCAAGGGGTGACTAGAGTCGGTCTATGTCGCGCAAGTGCGTCCTGGGTGCTGCGCTTGGCGCAGACCCCCGCTGGATCAACCGCCCGGGCCTCCGCGCGCTCCGATGGCCTGCTGGGCGGCCCGGCCTCGAGCGAGACCGCGGCTCAGGAGCGCCCGCTGAATGCCGCCGAGTACTTCGCCATCGCGAGAATGGGCACCCCGGTCGGCAGGCGCAATCCAACGGGCTCCAGGGCGCCTGGCGCGCGCTGGCGAATGACGGCTCGCCTGGCCCAGTGCGCCCTGCAATCGGCGACGTTGTAGCCGCGATGGCAGGGGGCCTGTGCCGTGCCACTTCGCGGGCGTCGAAGGGCGCGGGGTCGAGTTCTGGCATCTGTGCTTGGGGCGTGTCGAATCGTTGCGATCGAATCGGCGCGAAGAATGAAATCGCGCCCCTTCGTTCCGACAGGTCAGTGGCCATGTGCGCAGAGTAGAGCAGTGCCTGAAGGCGCTGCTCCAGGCGCGTGCTCGCCGCCGTCGGGGCCGGCGATGACGTCGGCGCCGCGCGCGCCAGGGCTGGGGCCGAAAACAAGGGCACCCTCGGCGGCTAGCAGCTAAATTGAGAAGCGTCGCTGAGGATCCGCGCGCGCTTCGGCATCGAGTGGCGCGGGCGCCCGTCGTCCACTGTGAACGACGGCGACGTGGTCGGAAGCCGCGGGTCTGGGCGGCAGCGTCGCATCGAGGGCCGCACTCGTGACCCCCGTCGCAAGGATCGCGTGCGAGCCCAAGGTTTTTCGCGCCCTGGCCAGGCCGGCGGGGCGCGCGTCCGTGAGGACGCGCGGCGGCCTTCGCGCGGGCCGCCGTGCTCCCAGCGATCGAGGAGCTGAGCGAGGCTTAGCACGGGAGCGCACGCGACGCCCGTGCACCTGGCTGGCAGCGGACTGACGGTGCAGCCTGGCGCCGCAGCGATGCTGCGCGGTGTCGCGGGCGGCGGCGAAGACCCAGCCCAGACCTACGTCCAATGGTTTTCTCCGCCCAACAGCGCGTGGCAGTGTGCGGCCGACGCGGGAACCAGAAGCCAACCGAACCGATGGCGAAGCAGAGCCGGCCCATCGCGCAACGACGAACGGCCGCGGCGATGCCGAAGCCAGAATCGATGCCGAAGCGACGCTGTAACACAGGGGCCGATATGTCTCTGCTGGGTGGCGGCGCGTGCGTTCTGCGACTCCGAAGAGTTCTCGCGCCCGACTTGCAAGCCCCCGTAGGTTCGAAGGATATGAGGTCCAAGGGCTTCCTCCTGTTCTTCCTCCGCTCCCCTTCTTCACAAAAATAAAGCTCCGCTTGCACTGCGATTGTAATTTCCTCACGGGCGACATCGAAGCGCAACGTCCAGGGTGGACTGGGCGCCGCGCCGCCCCGCGCCCCCCCCGGGGCAACTTCGACGTCCGAGCCTGCGCCCTCGGGGGGCCGCGAGCCCGAGAGGGCGGGCGGGCGGGTCGGCCGAGGGGCGCCTTGCACTCATGCGCAGACATGGGCCCGCAGCGGGGCGCGCGCGGGCGCCCCGGCGCCGGAGCGACGGAGAGCCGCCCCGGGCGGCGGGAAACACTCCTTGGAACTCCGAAGCGCTCGCTCCCGAGCCTGGGCGCCCCCCGACGGGCTTTGCGCGTCGAAGTGGGCCCCCTGGAACGCACGGCCGGGAATCTGATTTCTTCGGGCGCGCGCTGAGGCGGCGCCTGCCAGCCCCCGCGTCGGGTCGAGGGGGGGTTCGGCCCAGGGGGCCCCGGCCGCGTCGTGGTGCTCCAGAATTTCACCTGGGCCCCGCGTTGAAAATCGCGCTGCGGCTGGCCTGGAACGTAACAAAAACCATGTTTTATGCTTCCGAGTTGTGAAAGACTGCTTCTGTGAAATCCCGGCGCCCCAGACAAACCTGGACTGGCCTCCAAACTCTGGGGCCCAAAAACATATTTGTTTGAATTCTGATTTCCCCGCTGGTTCCCAGAGCAGGCTGGCCAATCGCCCTGGCCTCTATGTTCAGAAATCCCCACGCAGAACTCAATCGCATGCGCGTTTTTGTTCGGGGGCGCGTCGAGGCGGCGATGCCTGGGCCCTGCCTCGGGTCGCGTCGAGGCGGCGATGCCTGGGCCCTGCCTCGGGTCGATGGCGGGGTGGGGGCCGAGGGGGGGCGGGGCAGGGCTGGCCCCGCAGCCGTGTTCTGGAGCTCCAGGAACCCCCCCATGGGCCCCCGCGCCACAAACAGTCTTGCAGCAGACGGACAGCCCCGATGACCGCGAGATCACTTCCTCGATGTTGACATCTGATTTCCGACCCCAGCGAAAAACCGGGCGCCCAAGACGAGCCCTGGCGGCCTCTGACCCCCGAAACCAAAAACATTAATGATTCGAGCTCCGCAAGGTTGTCCCCCCGGTACCTGCTCCTCCTCCTCCTCCTCCTCCGCCTTCACCTCCGTTGTCGTTGTCCTCGTCCCCTTTGTGCTCCCCTCGGGCCCTGCCGCTCTCGCTCTCCCTCCGCCCTCCCTCCCACCCGGGCCCCCCCCTCTGAGCTCCTCTCCCCCCCCTCTTTCGAGCGTCCCTCCCAGATCGGTGCGACGGCCAAGGAAGGAGATAAGTTGAGCAGGGACGGGCCGTCCCGGCATTTGTATAGTCCTACCACGAAATGTTCTTAGGGCTCAAAAATGTTCCAATAACAAAAACAATGTTCTTAGAACTTAAGCCTGATGTGTTTAAACAAGACAGACTCCGCCAGAAATGTTCTAAGAACATTTCGTGGAACCCACAAAAGGTTCTTAGAACATTGTTTGGTAGGGCTATAGGCGAGCCGGGACGCTTCGCCACTGCTTGAATAAGAACGAGGAGGGAGGCGAGATGAGGGTAGAGGGGGGGGGACAGCAAGAGGAGGCAGAAGCAAGCATATCCTTTTCCTCCGCGGGACTTTCATGCGGCTTTCCAGGGGCTGTCTTGGAGGCATGCTGTAATCAGTCTGGGCTTTCGCGGCGCTGGCTTGGAGCCCTTGGTGGAACATGCGGGGCGCATTGGGGCCATCTTGGGGCAGGCTATCGGCACCTGGTGCCTCTCTGGTCGCCGATCGGCTTCTGGAGCCCTATGGGAACCAACCCCGCTCGCACCATTAGAACAATGGGAATGCTAAGCACGCGTTCGACGGCGCGCTGTGAACATGTTTCGGCACGAATCCAGCCGCGGCGATAAGAGACCCTCAGGAGCCCCAACCATACAATAGATTCCTCATCTCTGGGCCTTTCACTCCCTCCGACGTCTTTCCTCCTCAACTGGCCAGCCGCCGCAATCCGACCTCACTAACACTCCGCACCGCTCACCCCTCCCCGTCCTCCATCCTCACACCCTACCTTCCTCCCGCCTCACTCCTACATGCCCTTAACTCCGCCTTCAGTCATACGCCCTTTCCTATCTCCCTCCTCTCATACTCCTCCTCTCCTCCTCCTCATACCTCCTCCTCCCCTCCCTCCTCCCCCTTCCGCCCTTTATCTCCTCCTCCTCCTGCCCTCTCCCTCCTCCCTTCCTCTCTCCCTCCCGCCTCATCCTCCTTCCTCCTAATCCTCCTCCTCCTCCCCTCCTCCTCTCCTCCTTCCTCCCGCCTCCGCCTCCTCCTCCTCCCTCCTCCTCCCTCATCCTCCTCCTCCCTATCCCTCCTCCTCTTCCTCCTCCTCTCCTCCTCCTCTTTTTTTACTTTCTTTTTTTTCTTCTCCTCCTCCCCTCCTCCACCCTCCCCTCCTCCTCCTCCTCCTCCTTCCTACTCCTCCTCCCCCTCCATTCATCTCTCCCTCCTGCTCCTTGCCCCTGCCCTGGCCCTC